ATAAGAAATGACTATGAATACCGTCCATAATTACGGAAAAAAACGCATAACAGTTATGATATTCATATTCAGAAAAAGTATGCGCAACTTAGTAAAAAGCGATTTTTTTTGGAAAAATGGTTAAAAAAAATTTTTTTTCTATAGAAACGTGTACTTTAATTTTTTTTTAATTTTTAAGGACCAAATTGCAAAATCGGGCTTCTTACTAAGTCGCGCAGTTATATAAGGAATATATTTAAAAAAAAATCACGACAAAATATTACTTCTCCGAGTCACAGTTTGTTTACTACAAAATCGTTAAATCTGAACGATTTCTATGCTAACATGGCTGCTTGACAAGAAGAAACAAACACCTTGCATTAGCAAGACTAGCAAACGCCCGCTTATCGTACTTTTTATATTTGCATATGGTTATATGTATATGAATTGTTGATAAATATTATATATATATATATATATATTAAAATCATCTAAAGATTGATAATAATTAAATAATAATATACAGGGTAATAAAATTTATTATCGAGAAAATACAAGTGCTTTTTATACTTGCTAAAACATTGCATGTAATATTTATGAACAATTTATATTAATACATATACATATTTGCACACATATCCCACATAGCAAAGATTTCCCCAGGACATCCCAATTTGATCAAAATGATCCGAACGATACAGATCGATAATAAATAGTTATTCGTAGGATTTCCTGAAGATATTTCTAGTACAACAAATATACGTACATTAAAATTGCTGTTTCTTCAAATTTAGCAAAAGATTTCTTACATAAATATTTTTTAGTAAGACATTTTTTTTGCTTAATTTGAACAGAGAACAAATTTAATTTTGTGTGCATGCGTAGACACACATATAACATACAAATATAATTTTAATCCGTCCATTTGTTAAGATCAAAGTACAAGTATATATAGAGAAAGTATTTATTTCTATTATATGACGATACTAGAACTTGGTCATCGAGTTCTTGGTTCGAGAAGCCAGTATATACAGTGATGGGAGAAAGTTCCGTAACGGTCAAATATCTTAGAAAATAATGATTGCAGTGAGGCTTTGTTACTGCCGCTCCGATTCTTGACAAGGCACCATTCCCCCGAGTACGACTCGGACAAGCCTCAGGGCGCACTCTGAAGCTCCGGTCGTACTCGCTCCCATCCCGATAGTCGTTCTAGGAGCAGGGCGTTCTCTGCTTCGGTTGGGTGTTCCCGGCGTTCGACTTCCTATACCTCGTCGTTCTAGGGGCAGGGCGTTCTCTGCCTCGGTCGG